GTACACTGCTGAGGGGAGCAGCGGGCGGGTCAGGAGAGGTCTGCCGCGCCATGTGGTCACCTCCGGGGCAGGCGGGAATCGAACTCATGCAGAAGTGGCCTTAGCTGTGCTTTAACCCACTGCGCCACCAGGGAGGGCCTGCCTGGGTATAATTTTCAAGAACAAGTTCCTGCAAGTGTTTTACAGGATATAAATTTACATATCAATTTTAATCAGGAAAAATTAATATATGTTTAGAATAAAATTTATCATTTCAAAAATAGATTTACAAACCAAGTTATTCCAAAGATGCTTAAAACTTTCCACTAACTAAATTATGTAACAAAAAGTCACTGACCTTTAACACAGTCACATCCACATTGATAAAACTGGTTTTCTACAGAACTTGATTTAATTTAGAATAAAATGTTGATCGATTTCAAAGCTACATCTATCCAAGCTAAGTAAATTCATAACACTACAACACTACGTCAATAAAGCATTATGAAATTGAATTTAAAAAGACATGTACAAAAATTGAACAGTAAGGCTAAATCATCACTAGCAACAAAGCATCAAATTGCTTCTATGGCTTTTCACAGCAAGTTTACATAACACTGTATATTACAGTCAAATCATTTGCATATGCATGTTTTAAATATGTAAAGAATTGTTTGTATGGCTAAAAGTTTTTATTTCAACAACCAGCTGCATTATTTCCCTGGAGCTGCAAATTTAATTCATTTATATACAGTATTAGTGAGAAAGTAACACTGAAATTTTCTTGCCTTTGATTAGTGAGGATTTTTCAAATAGTCTTTTGTCAAGAAAATTATGGACATAAGTGATCCTTGTAAAATTCTTCCACAGCTCAACCACTCAATACTGGCAAAGAAACTAAGATTTAAAAGTAGTATCTTCCATTGATTTTACTACTTGCATAAACTGGCAGTGAGTAAAATTACTCACACAAAAATAAGTGAATTTAACAAATGAATCCATGTAACAAAAAAATCACTGGCCTTTAACACATTCAGATCCACATTGATAACACGGGTTTACCTTTTCTACAGAACTTGACTTAATTTAGAATAAAATGTTGATCAATTTCGAAGCTACATCTATCCAAGTTAATTCATAACTTAACTATATATTTCTGAAGTAAATATTTCTAATATATAGCATGGAGTAAACACACATGTTGGGAAACATTATTCTCTAAATGTATGACCATAGAAAACTATTCTCCATAAAAAAACTGATAGGTAAACAGTTTTCTAAATCTATACCGCAAGCCATTTTATGTAAGCCATGAGCTCTAACCTTCTTGGTATATTCTGATGTCCTTTGAAACAAATTGGGTAGAAGGTGATGTCACATGACTCATGTAAAGCCAAAGAAAATATTTCAATTCTTTTTCAAACTTAGACTCCATGGATCTTCATTACTGCTAGAAAGGGATTGTGCTGTAGAGGCAACTGTTTGATCCCTCACTTTTAAGTTTATTCTCATAATTTCCCAAGTAATTTCAATTCCATCATTTACTTCATAATCTTGCCAACATAAACAATTTTTTTTTTCTTGGAGCAAAAAAAAATGGGTGGCCAAAATGGCATCTTCAGGTCTTGCTGAGAAATAATTTTTTTATGTAAAAACTTATAATTTCTTTTACATAAAGAATCACATATAAACTTCTGACTGTGCATTTCATTTTGATTTCCATTTTGATGGAGGAAAAGAACAGAAAACCTAAAGGAGACATACCAGAGTTAGAACCTGACTCACACAGGAAGTAGGGGCAGAAGAGAGTACCATGACCATTAGCCCAGCCAGAGAAATCAAGACCCTGAGTGCGTTATCTCAAGGCATACGCCCCCAACAGGTAGCAGACTGCTGTAGCAGACTCCCGTAGGGAGTGATAGAAGCACAGACCTGAGGCTGAAGATTTAGAGATTGGACCCACTGGCCCGCTGAGAAATCTCAGCTCCCTTTAGGATTCCACCTACTTCTCCCAAATCAGCAGCAAACAGGCCACATCACCACCACCAAGTTAGCCTCTTCCCAAGAGAAAAGGACTCTATCTGTGCAGTCTCTGCCCTGGCCCGGGGCGGCAGTCCTGCCCACCTGTGCCCACACAGAACCTTCTTCCCACCCACTCTGTCCCTCTGCAGGGCAGCAGCCTCCTGCCTGCCCGTGACCTGCACATTCCGGGGCTTTCTTAGACATATGTCAGATCTAGTTGGAAGGCAGGAAGCTGACTACCTCTCTGATGGGTACCATCTTGTTCAGAGTAGACAAATGCAGGACTTTCAGAACATGCAACACTCAGCCGATCTGCGTTAGTCCTAGCTAGAAGACAGTGCAGCAGAGAGGCTCTCTGACATTTGAGGATCCCCAGTGTTCTCTAATGTACCCTCGGTGGTATTTTTCCACAAACGTCTACTCTAAGCAGTTCCATTTGGAACCTGAAACAAAATGTTATCATCTGCAACAGAAAAAACATTTGGTAAAGAGACTTCTTTGTTCCAAATACCTAAAAGGATTTCCATAAACAATAAAGGAAAATAAAAGATTTTAAACAATTGAAAACATTTTTTTCCAAAAACTAAAACATATTGGAAATCTGGTGCTGAATCAAGTTCCCAGACAGCAGAACAGCTGTGATCACAAAATAACTGCAAATAAAGAAAAAAAAATATCTAAACAAAATATCTGATTTAATAGCCAACCAATCACCTCCTTTAAAAACCTTATTTTAGTCAATTCTCCATTTTCAAGACAAAGAAAAGAAAAACATCTACAATGTAAGCAAAACCAAGGCAATAAAACACTAGGAGAAGTAATAGCTGTTTCCCTGGTTTAACCTTTAAGTGACAGGTTTTCTAAGAAAGTCACTGGTGAGGGTAATAAAAAGCAGGTATTAACTATGTGCATTGAATAGGAACGATTTATTAAATACTGTGCATGGTGAACTGAATTTTATTTAAGTACATTTATGTTCTAGATGCTTGCTAACATCTACGGAGAAAAGGTCACTAAAACAATGCCCTGTCTTCAGAAGTTCACAAAGGAGGGGCCCATCCTATCTCAGCAAAGTCAGCACCTTCCCCAGGTACTTCTCTTGCCAAATTAGAAGTCACTCTGGGCCCTCCCTGGTGGCACAGCAGGTTAAAGCAGAGCACTGAGAAGCTAAAGCCACTTCAGCATGAGTTCCATCCCCGCCCCGGAGGTGACCACATGGCGCAGCAGACCTCTCCTGACCCACCCACTGCTTCCCTCAGCAGTGTACTTTGTTGATCTGCCTGTTCTGCTCCCCACTCTGTCTCTAGTGAATCTTCTCACCATCTGGCCTGTACCCCAGCTCTGTATGCATGAATAAATCTTTTTTTTTTTTAAGTCACTCTGGATTTTTCCTTCCAACACACTGTCCATCAGCAAGCATCAGACAGGCAACATCAGTGTCCACTCCCCTACAGAAGCAGGCTCCTACTGGCCTTCTGCCCTGCTCATGCCTCCTCCAGCCTGTTCTCCTCCTCACAAAGACACAACACTCTTTCAAGAAACGACCAGATCACCTGATGCCTGTGGCTTGCAACCCTCCTGCTCTAATCTATGATGGCCTGCTGGCCCTATGCCCCACTGACCCCTTCACCAGACTCTGTCCCTTGAGCACCCCAGATTCACTTCCCTGCTGCTCCTCCCTGCGTTCTCAGCCCAGATCTTTGCACTCTGTTCAGGTCTGACCACAACCGGCTGGTCCAGGTTCCAAAGTAGAAACTGATGGTCCATTGTCCTACTTCTTTTTTTGTTTTCTTTCACACAGAAGAACTGGTGTGCAGGCCATAGGTGCAGGGGGGTGAGAGGATTCACCAGAGACAGAGTGGGGAGCAGAGCAGGCAGATGTACTGAAACACACTGCTGAGGGGACCAGTGGGCGGGACAGAAGAGGTCTGCTGCACCGTGTGGGTCACTTTCCTGGTTGGGAATGGAACTCAGGCCACAGTGGAACTCAAGACATTAACCTCTTCGCCACCAGGAGGCCCCCACTGTTCTACTTTTCAAGTCGACTTGCTAAGTCTAACACAATTACAGAAAAGCACAAAACCTTTTCGTTTGAATTCTCACAAAGTAAGTAAACATACCCAAAGACCTTGTACATAGATGCAGAAATAGCAAGCCCCGAGATGGAGGTTACCCCCAAATGGTGCATCTGGTGAAAGAGCCCAATGTATGGGGAAGGATGGAAACTAGGCTTTTGGTGGTAATCATAACAGTGTCCACAGTAGTGAGCAGCTGAAACCGTCACTGACGAACGTTGCCTTGTGAATGCATTCAAGAGGAGAGAAGGAAGCTTCATCTATTAAATTAAATTTATTGATTTACATATCTAATTGTTGTTCATTTTAAAACAATGTTTACTCCCCTCCCTCCCCATTTCTCCCACACATCATCACCTCGTCCCTCCCCTGAAGAATATCTCTGCTTTATATGCACTATGGAAAGTGGTGTGGAGGTTCCCCAGACTACTAAAAATGGCACTATCATAAGACCTGGCAAGTCCACTCCTAGAGATCTACCCAAAGACACAAAAACATTAATTCAAAAGATCATCTGTACCCCTATGTTTATTGAAGCACTATTTACAATAGAAAAAAAAAAAAAAAAAGACTGTAATCAACCCAAATGCCCAAAATTAGATGACTCGGTATATATACACAATGGAATACTACTCAGTAATCAAAAAAGTAAATCCATGCCATTTGCACCAACATGGATAGAAGTAGAAGGGATCATGCTTAGTGCAATAAGTCAGAAGGAAAAAGAAAGTACACTTTAAATATCTAAAATAGCAAGTGCATTCTCACCTCCCACATCAGCCTGTAATCCATGTTCTCATCCAAGTCTTCAGGCATTCTCTTCTCTCCAGCAAATGGTCCAAACTTTTCACCCTGCATAGTGATGATTACGTTGAAAAAATAAGTCAGTATTAAATATCAAATGATTATGATAAAGTATGATTTCTCTTCTGGGAATTTTCTCATCACATCATCATGGCAAATGATGGAAACATCTTTAAAACATTAAACTATTTACACAACATGAACTATTTACATATTTAAGATCCAGCATAACCTGTTTTTAGCCTCTGAGCCTGAATTCCTAGCACAGGAGTCAACTAAAAAGGTTAAACATTCACACATTCATCCCAATTCTCAACAAGGAAGAAGGCCTGCCACTCTGAAACCATTCATGAACACAGCTTAGAGCCCTGCGAGACATCCCAACAGCCAGTGCCTAGAAGCCTCCCTGCAGGAGAATCACTGGAGGAAACTAGTTTGAAATACAGAATCCTGGGTGTTATTTAGAGTCAGAATCTCGGGCAGGGGGGCACTGGGGTGGGGGGGCTGGGGAGAGCTACATTTTGACATAGTCCCTAAGCGACACACTGATGACCAGGAAAGTCTGGTCTGGGTTTACCCTGGCGGGACAGCCAGGCAAGCCCAGGGGGTCCTGCCACCCGCCTCTCACGGAGGTGAGAAAGAAGGGGTGTGGGCTGAGGGAGCCAAGGGGTGTCCATAGGACTCACTGCACACAGAGGCCACTGGCCACGCCTGTCTTTGTGCATCCCTGAGACATGGAGGTGAGCTTCTCCAGCTGGACGTGGTCCTTCACAAGGAGGTGGGGGGAAAAAAACCCACAACTCCAGCAGCGCTGCTGATGAGCACAGGTGGAGGAAATCACCTCCATATGATACTTCAGGAATAAAAGTCTTTAATAAACAGCAGTCTAACTCCTGGGAGGAGGACTGTTGAAGCCTCAAGTTATTACAAACCAGCTAACCCAGCCACCCTGTCTGGAAGGGAAGAGTGAGAAGCCACAAATATGGCAGTCCCAGGCCACTGGTGCTGTCATGTTACTGTGAGGCAGAAAATAACTCCAGAGACTCCTCCAAAGAAGACTCTCACCCTCTGGTGGTGTGTATGGTGTGGAAATATGCATCTCAAAAGGGGTGATCCTGTATCTCAAGATCATAAACAGTGCTATAAACTAATGTTACCACAGCAAAAAATAATATACGAGTAACCCTAAATAACCCAAGCACAGGGACACCAAACAAATGACAATTTATAACAGATTCTACGGCCCTCCCTGGTGGCACACGGGCCAGGATACAGCACTGCAAGTAACTGCAGCCGCTTCAGTGTGAGTTCGATCCCCGGCTCCGGAGGTGACCCACGTGGCACAGCAGACCTCTCCTGACCTGCCCACTGCTCCCCTCAACCGTGTACTTCTTCGATCTGCCTGTTCTGCTCTGGTGAATCCTCTCGCCACTCCTGCACCTCTGGCTGTACCCCAGTTCTGTGTGCATAAATAGATAAATCTTTAAAAAAAAAAATAGATTCTGAAAGGAAGTTTAGCCAGCAAATTTCAGAGGCCCTAAAACTAAAAGCCAGCTCGGCTTGTAGATCTTTCCACGCCTCACTTTATGACCACTTTATGTCAGTATCATTTTTCATACCGACACGGCCATCCCAAAGACACTTTGTTTAAACAGTCATCATTTCTCACCTCAAGATGTGATCTTAGCAGTATATATCGGCAGTGAGGAAAGGCTTCTTAAGAAATGATAGAAGGGGAAGAAAATGAGTATTTAGTGAACTACCGGGTTCTGCAATCCAAACGGTTGTGTGTGTAAATATTCCTGTTTATAAATAAAGGAACCTGGGTGGACCTCCCTGGTGGCTTA